GTCTCGATTACTACCGAAGTACTACCGAAGCTTAGACAGACCTGTCCCGCCGCCCCTCTTGGTACTCATTACCGCCCTCAAGTCTGATTATTTCTTAAACATAAAATGGAATCCGCTCTATCCAAGCCTGTATTTAGTGTTAAGGTAGCTCTGCCCAGCCCTGTAGCCATGCCCTTGATGCCTCTGCTCTATTTTTTAGTGCGCCTTTCTTAGTAGTTCTTCTCTTCAGCCATGGCCAGCATGGCTCACTAGCGTTGAGGTCTGGTAAGTTGCCACACCAGAGGAGCTTCTCTACGCTCTCTCTCTCATATACCAAACGCTGAGCGTAGTGGGAGTGAGAGGGAGCTTTGTCTTCTTAAACAAGAGTGCCTGGTCTCTCCTTCTAACACTCCTTCGCGAAGGGGAGAAGCTTTAGGACTAGAATCTGAGTCTGATAGCACCACCAATCAATCCCACTACCTCCATCACGAGTGAGTTTGCCAGTCTCCTTCGTCCATCTCCACTAAGGCGAGCGGCCTGGCTTAGCCCGCAATCCCATCCTCTTCATGCCCGTTGTAAGCTCCCACTCCTCTCTCATCACAGGCTCAAGAGCCTCGTTAAGCTCTGCTATCTGCTCAGCTGCCAGGCGCTTCTCCTGCGCTGTTTCAGGTCTCCAGATGTGACAGGGACCCTTACAATCATACGAGAAGCAGCCCCAGAACATAAACTCAGAGTATCCCTTCCACCTCTCTCGAATTACAGACTTAGTAAACAGCTCATCAGCTTTTCTCCAGACGCGATAGCCACCACGGCGGTGGTTAAGCACAACAGAGGTCTCATCAGACCAGATCACGTTCTTCCAATCCTTAAGACTCCAGTCTTTGTGGGTAAAACACCAGTCAAGCCTCTCCTGCCTCATCTTCTTCGTCAACCCAGGCTTCCTCATTAGCTTTGTCTTGTTGTAACCCGCTGCTCTAAGGACTCGCCACACCATTGTGGAGGATACGTCAAAGCCGTAAGCACTAAGATCACCAGCAATATCAGCACAGCTCTTCTCTCGTCCATAGCGATCACGTCGTACTTTCTCAATTGTAGCTCCAGTAACAGCTTCTTGCTTACGTAGGCGACCAGCACGAGGAGCGTCTTCGAGGTACTCTAGGAGGAGCTTAATCAGGCGGGCGTTAGGCTCAAATCCTCGCTAGCAGGCTCTGCCATAGATAGCGTCAATCGTACGGGGTGAGATGCCTGTGATCTCGCTGATCTGAGTGGTAGATTTGCCACCAAAAGGTGACTTTAGAGCAACAACTAAAGCACGAGTTGAGATATCAGTATTTAGAGCCATAGTATAGCAAAAAACACCATTAAAAACCCTACAACAGTAGGTATACTGGCTATCTAGAGCTTCAAAAAACAGAGATTGGTGCCAAGCCAGTCGGGCCAATTAATCAGCCGCTAGTCTGACGCTAGCAAGAACTTTTGAAAGCCACCTCTGTACACATCGGACACCTAGCCTGTAAATCCTTCTCGAGAGTTGAAGTTCGCAGAAGAAGGCCCGAAGTTGGGCTTACATTCTTCCATCTGTAATCTCTGATGCAGTGGCTGAGCTGGCGCGTTACAGACGATACGCAGTGTGAACGCCAACGGCCCTACAGCATGCAACAAGTAGGGCGGCAGACGGGACTCTTGGTCCTACAATGCAGAACTTGTGGATGTTACCATACTTTGAATCCTTACGTTTGTGCCAAACGGTTTGCCTGAACTATCGCCACGAGTAAACAAGGTATCCAATTTCTCGTGATCCGCCCTCTTCCGCCCGTCGCCCCGTCCAATCTTTCGGCGTTCCTGCACTCCCAACAACCAGCATCCCTTTGTCTTGCGCAATGCAATCACCCCACCGCCGTTGACTCGTACCTGAACTCTCCATCCTCATGGATGCTATCGCGACTCAGGCCGCCAAATGCCACCAATGATCGCGCTCAACAGCAAATCCTCAGATCACACCATGGGCGCGCGCGCGCGGACACGGTAAGCACGTACTGCCGCTGGACCAGGCCTAGACGGCAATGCTTCTTAAACCGATTGGTCGGAAGTGCGAAGCGAAGTGAAGAATTGAGTGGCAAATCTCTTGTTACGAGATGTGCATCCTTATTGCAGCTGCAATATATACACACAGCAGTCGGCTGTGGCATGTGGCAATGCTGTAGGTATTCTTCGCTTTTTGTTTTTTCCCACTCATCTGGTCCCTGGAGTCGTTATGACGGGCCAAAATCCGGGGAAAATGGCTCTGTAACATTCGCCGTTGACATGCATGCAGAGCACAAATGTCCTCGCGGAGCTGCCAATTCAGGGGGGAACGATGCCAACCCAGCGAAACGAAGCCATTGCTTCAGCTGCTCCGGGTTCGTGAATCATGCCACGCGACTACCCGCTTGCGATTGCCTCAGTATACCCAGCCGAGCGAAGCCTCTAGACCAAAAACAGCCTAACACTCGCGTGGAAAACGGCTCATCCGCAACTGCACTTGGAGATGGATGCCCGAGAGGCCATTTGCGTGTCAAAGCAACGGTTCCCTCCCCACTGAATCTGCATTGCGCAAGCTCGTCTCCGCGCCAAAGGATCCAAGGTTTGAACTTTGAACCTTGTGTACCTGCAGGTGGTAAATGGTACCTTCAAAAGGGCATACGGCCGGACGCCTCCTCAGTCCCATGGCCCGCCTGTCAGATGGCGGAATGTACGACGCTTGCAGCCTCCCGTATATAGCGTCGATGGGCCGGATTCCGAGGTGATAAAGTTCGAGTTTCTTCATCGACCCAGGCACAGTGCGTCGAGACTCTCACTCTCTTTCTTCTTCCCGTTCCATTTCTCGTTTCGTCAATCCGCGGAGTGCAACTACAGTTTGGTCGACGGCTGTGTTGTTCTAGTACCCATAGGCCTTGCGAGGAATCCCTGAGTAATTCTCCAAAGCCCATGACAACTGGACGCACATAGTGTGTAAGACGGTTACGATACCCCGGACGCCCACATACCTTTCTTCCCGCCTCGAGTTGACAACCAACTACACGCCAACAATGTCCAGCTCCATGGCCGCGCCGCCTTACTCCAACAAAGCCGCCATTTACCTTGGACCCGTCATTTCCTTTGGAGTCGTTGCACTTTTCCTGGTCATCGCGCGTATCTACACACGAGTAAAGAGGACCGGACAGCTATATCTCGATGACTGGATCATCGTGGTCGCGGAGCCAATGTCGTTGGTCGGCATATGTTTGGCCATCGCGTCAACCGCATACGGATGGGGTAAACCAGCAGCATTCTTCACACCCGAGACACTCAAGCAGACACTAAGGGTCCAATTTGCGCTCCAGACCGTGTGGCTCCTGACGCTATGGCTCGTTCGACTGTCTGTCGCGTGCTCGCTACTGCGCTTTGGGACGGAAAGGCTGTGGCGATGGCCATTGTACTTCATCATGGGTCTCCAGACGGTCATCTCCTGGGGCTACTTTGTGATTCAGTTTGCGCAGTGCACGCCCATCAGCTCCAACTGGGATACTGGTATCTCTTCCAAATGCTGGAACCTGGATCCCATCATTCTCTTGGGATGGGTTATAGCTGGTAAGAAGTCCGTCCATGCTACCGTTAATGAGCCCGCTTAACCGTTCTGCTAGGTGTTTATATCGCTATGGATCTTACTCTTTCCCTCATGCCAATCCGCTTGATTCGTACCCTGAATCGCTCTCAATCAGAGAAGATGCTCATCGGCGTCCTAATGGCCCTCGGTCTTCTCGCAACTGCAATTAACTGCGCCAAGATGACAACGTTCACGTCTTTCGGCCAAGGTGACGTGATGCAGGCTACCATCGTGCCTTCAATGTGGGCCAAGCTGGAGGAGGAGATTGGCATCATCGCTACGTCGCTTCCCTGGCTCAAGAGTCCGGCTGAGAATTGGTTGAAGAAGATGGGTATATTGAAAGAGCATCAGCTTACCAAGCCGAGCTTTGTGGCTGACATGAGCTTGCCGACTGTCAAGGACAATATCGAGGACATGAACAATGATGATGATGATGCGGACAGTGCGAAAGTAAAAGGAAATGTTAGAGTGGATTCATTGGCTACTGTACTCGGTACCAAAGGCTCCAACTCAAGCTTGCCAAAAGATCCAAACAGCAATACCTGGCAGGCTGTCTGATCGCGACGACGTTTACGATTTTCATCTCGAATGCATGCCGAATATCTGGGCTTTAGCGTGGCGTTGTGGGCGTTGTTGAGAGTCGTTTTATCAACTCTACGGACTTGACGAACATACACGGGCATAGACTGCCTCTTTGCATTATGCGACGGTATACATTACCCCCTTAATACTATCAATCTCGAACCGAATGAATGACTTTCTCACGTTGCGAGGCGTAAAGAGTTGGTGATGCCGCACTTCGGCGATATTCGTGCGAAGCTCTGCGGAAACTCGGCTTGTTAGGTAAGGAAAACTTTTAGCGTAACTCACTCTCCGCATCTTGCAAATCATCGTCAGCACCTTGCAAAAGCTTCCATTTGCGCGGTCACTAAGCAATTTCTGCGTCCTCTCCTTTTCATGTGAAGCTTTTTGTTCTTGAGGCAGATGACGGTAAGAGGTGCGTTATTTCCATCTCAGGCTTGTCCGTGCATCGACGTTATACAGGAACTTGTGTGTTGGAATCAGCAAAGTTCTTCAAACCTCGACGAGATGCCGCGGTCATTAGTAGCACTAAATCGGCACGCGCCATCAGTCCGGGGTGCATGATCCAAGCTCGATATGTAATAGTGGTGACGTCCCAACCGGTCGTTATTCCCTACTCTAGGTTTGAAGTCCATGCTCTCATCAAGCTTTCTCCTCTTCCACATCTTCGTTTCTTAACACTACGACCGTTACCACGTCCTGAATCTGACGAGCACCTGTCATCGACGAGACTGTTTCGACCTGTACTCTTCTCTTGAGTGTCTATCGTAGTTGCTGGCGCTTGTGTATGTGCTAGGCATCTTCCGCCTTCACAATGCCGATATGGGATCCCCTTGTTCCCGTTGAGCGCGGTATACAGCGCGGGCTTGCACGTCTTCCAGTACCCGTCAGCCACTGGCTTGGCTACCGACACAAGACAGAACCGCCCTCTCGCACATGGGTTGTTTGTGTCTGGGGGTTCATAGGCGCCTTTTGTGGGCTTAGTGTCATTCTCGCCATCTTTGGTCATACGGATTATATGAGGAGTCGCGCTGTACCACCGATTATTGCTTCCTTCGTAAGTTTTCTCTTCGTTTTCAAAAAAAAAAAAGCGTCAACTCCAATCGATAAACTAACATTCATTTCAGGGCGCTTCGGCAATCCTCTGCTATGGCGCTATCGATGTGCCTTTCTCGCAACCACGCTCTCTGGTTTTTGGCCACTTCTTCAGTGGCTTGGTTGGTGTCATCGTAGCAACCATCTTCCAGTTCGATCTGGAGAAAGATCCCTATCCACGACTGCAATGGCTCGCAGCTGCTTTGGCGACAGCAATTGCTCTCGTTGTTATGCATCTGACCAAGACGACCCACCCACCTGCTGGAGCAACAGCACTTATGCCGTGTGTGGACCAGCACATCTGGGCGCTGCGGTGGTACTTCCTGCCCGTCTTGCTACTGTCCTCGACGGTCGTGCTCGTTACGGCAGTCATGGGCAACAACATTCAGCGGCAATATCCCAAGTTTTGGGTCGCGCAGATTCCGCCACCGCCACCAGCGCCGAAAGCTGAGGAGAAGAAGATGGAAGAGAAGGAGGAGTCGTCTGATGGAAGCGTGCGAGATACACTAGGGGCTTTGGAGAGAGGACCTCTCTAGCTTCTCTCTCGGTTGTGCATCACAACGAGCGGCGCAATGGAGGTTATTGGCATGAATACTAGTTAGCGAGCGATATTTGGTTAATACTGAGTGTTTTTCTGTTCGAATTGGTTTCATTCCAAAGTTAGCCTATGAGTTCTGATTAGTGCAGGTCGCAATATTTCATCGCCCGAATGGGGTATTCTCGTACCCACGACGTACTCAGCAACGGTACAGTACCATTGTGAGTCGCAGTAAATGGCAACTTTAGTCCCTCTTGGTGCTTTCGATGTTGCTTCATTCTCTTGCTAGAACTCACTCATCTCTCAGTCCAAAGGCACTGCGCTGATGGGTGTCATCTTCTAAAGTGGCAGTGTCTTCCAATCTCAAACTTGAGTCCAATCTTCATCTCCCGTGATTTGATGATTCTGTAGGTCGAGTGGATCAGAAAGTGGGAGTAGAGTGACCAACTCCAGACTTTGGTGCGCAAATCCATAGCAATCGTAACGTACTGCCTGCAGCGTTCCAAAACACCGGCGATGCGTGAAGCAATGAATGATCTTAGCTGGCATGAGAAAAGATATTCAGTAACGTCTTCCACGACACTACATAACTTTCTAAATCGCCTAGCGCACACACAAAGCCACCAAAACCCAACCCAACCCGTCTCTCTTAAAGCCCATATCCCCTCAACCACCTCAACTCCCTAGCCTGCTGCTCCAACGCCCTCCTCATCTCCACCCCATACTGCCTCTCCCTAACCTTGTCCCCTTGGTGTTGTCCTCCTTGCTCCATACTCTCCCCCTGTACTTCCAACGCATCCTCAAAAACATCCCTCGCCATGGGCGGCTCCTTGCCAAAGCCCAAAAGCCCCAATCTACCATCTCCCGTCCATAACACCAGGTTATTCAGGCCTAGAGAAGAAGAGAACGACTCGGAAGACTCTGGTGCGTATTGCGACGATGTTGTTGTAGTAGTAGTAGGAAGAATCTTCTGGACAATGTCGCCCCAGCTGGCCTCTGAATCCGGCGTCGCGTTTACGAGGTTACCATGATCATGCTGCTGCTCCAGAGTAGAAACAGAACCATCCTTTGACCGTTGTTGAAAATCATTGATATTGAGCTGCCTCACAGGCGTCGAGCCATCCCTCTCCACCCACTTCAATCCTCCATTTCCATCTGCAAAAACCAGTCTCGTCCCATGTGGCGCCACAGACAAGAGTTTGGAGCTACTAGCCGTCTGCCGGTTCTGATAGTATGCTTTTGAGCGACCGCCGCGGCCCCCGAATGCTGTTGTACGGCTATCGCTCGAATTAATACTCCTCTCCGGTTCGCCAGACAGGCCGTACAGCTCCAGACTACCCTTACCCTTGTACTCGCCCGCTGCGATTAAGGTGAACCCCCTTGTAGATTTGACGTCGTGGAGGAGAGCCGGATTGGCGTAAGGGGTGCCAAGACGCAAATGATGCGGCACAAAAGGGTGAGGGAGGGCAGCAAGGCAGGACAGTCTCGCGCCCGAATGTACGGTACCGCGCAGACGGGGGAAATATCTCCGATCAAAGTTTAGCATCGAGGTGAAGCGGCCCGCGACCCAGATATCGCCGTTGCCGTCCCACTCGCGCGTCGTGGGCAGATGGAGGATAGACAGCGCCCCCGGCTGGGAGAGGCTGACATGGCCGTGTAGGTCCCCGGTATCAAGGCGCGAGAAGTCGTTATCTGCGGGGCCGCTAATGAGTTCGCAGCGCACCGAAGAAGAAGAAGGCGGCACAGGCGGTTTCCGACTATCGTGCAGATGCAGCGTCCAGTTTGTTCCAATCGTCAAGGGCGTGCTGTGATGTGCTTCGCTCAGCGCGGTAATGGGAAACGGATACGGCGTCCGCGAGACGACCTGAAGCGTATTCAGATCCGTCTCGACCAGCTCGTTCTTGACAGCGAAGAAGCCTTTGGCCAGCTTGCTGTCTATGCTCACGCACTCTACCGCACCCGTTTCCGTCATGATGGCGTGGCTCTGCCCAAGTCTCGTGTCGTAGTCCAGGTCGCTTCCCCGGTTCGCCAGTAACCCGATATCAGACTTGGCAATCAGGGTTCCCTGGCGGTCGCTGGCTGCAGAGGCGTCCCAGATACATATCCGGCCGTCGTCTAGGGGCGCGACAAGCTTATCCGCCAGGCCATGCTGATCGAACAAGATACCCGCGCCCGTAGCCTCCCTCCTCACGTCCCCTTGCTCTTTCCCCTCGGTCCCAGCATCTTGAAACCAACTCAGCCTTGGCTCGGCATGCCTCTGAATAAAGTCGTCGTACCAATTCACCCTCTCGTCAGGATAACTAGGATCCCAGTTGGCGATCAGCGCCTGGCGTCTCCTGCCTGCGTTCCTCTGCTGCTGTACGTCGGCGCTCGGCGCATCTGTGTCGTGCACCGAGGTATCGAATGTGTTGGAGAGAGTATCGGCGGCGCGTATGAGCTCAGCGAGTCGGGGGTCGATGTCGGGAGGCGTGATGTCGAGGCGGCGGCGACGGCGCTCGGCAGCAGAATGGGAGAAGCAGAGAGACTTCCAGAGATTGTTGTCGCGCGAGAGGGAAAGAAAGGCGCGGGAGACGTGTTGGAGGTTGACGAGCTCGGCGGGTTCGAGGTAAGAGATTATGTGGAGGATGAGCTCGTCGGGCAGGTGGATCATGGTGACAAAACAAGGAAGAAACGGACGGGTGCTCTAATGCTACGTGTGGGCGACAATGGTGGTTGCGACACGCGTTATCTTGGGCATCTTCGAGTCCCCCCACACCTTCTCCGGGTTCAAGGGCTCAAGGGCTGACGACATGCCGCCGACGGACATGACTCGCTGCCCTTTTTCCCCCACACACCGCCTTCCCCCATTCGCACTCGACATTTTCTGGAGAAGGCTGATGTCCATGCCCAAGTAAAATAAGTATAATCCATTGATTTAAACTAGTCGTCACAAGTTGCTAGAAACGTCTTTGCAGTCACATGGATTCTGCATTTCAAGATTAGAACAGCATCTTGCTAATCTGAAGCTATATCTGGATTTGAAGGCATCGCTACCCTCCTTCATTATACACAAAATTCTCGTGCATGGTATCTATCTTCCCTATGTTCTGAAGAAAAGAAGAAGAAAAAAGCTGCAGTAGCCACGTCATGTATATGTTAATGCCCTCCCATTTATAATAAAAAAACGCCTGCCTGGAAAAGCGAACAAACCACCCCCTTACCGCTTCGGCATCTGCTTCTCGAGATCCTCAGGCGGCGTCGTAACAGACGGCAGCTCAGCCACGGGTTGTGGAGGCCTATACGGTTGATACGGCTGCCCCTTCTCATTAAGAACAGGATGCACACTGTTGTCAGGCAGCTCCGCAGCATCGGGAGGGTGGCTGAAGGCGGCCTGTGCAGGCGAGTACTGAGGTGGTTGGCTATCCCACGTATTTCTATTACCATTGTCATTACCACCACCAATCCCAACAGCATCAGGTCCATAAGGAGCACCCTGTCCCGGTTGAAAACCATTTCCGGAAGGAAGTTCAGAGACGCGATTTGGCTGTCCGGCTCCAACAGGGTTACCATCAATCTCCGCCGTGGCGGGTCGCGAGTTTCGGTACGCCTTCTCTTTCTTGCTGAGTTTTGCTGCCGCGGCACCGCCGACGAGCGGGCTGTCGCCTTCAATTTCCGAAGCTTCTTTGTACGGGTTGGCGGCTTGTTGGCGACGCTTGCGGAGGAGCCAGAAGATTATACCGAGGAGAGCGAGTGCGAGGGGAATGCCGACTGCGCAACCGATGATAAGACCTAGGTTCGAGCTCGATCCGCTGTCAGAACCTCCATTAGCATTGTCGTTGCTTGAGCCAGCGGTTGGAGTCGGGGTAACGAGAATGGTGTTTTCAATCGTGACTACTCCTGCACTGCCTGTGGAAAGGCTCGTCGCAACGGAGCTAAAAGGCGTAGGCGTAGTCGTAACCGAGTCTGGTGTTGCAGTTCCATCGTCGCTCGTGGAAGGAGCAGCTGAAGACCGCTGCGCTGACGTTTGCGATGCTGAGTTTCCACCTCCTGATGATCCACCACTCGTCGCCAGGCCAGTAATGGTGGCGATGTTGGGGTTAGTCGACGCTTGATTTGAGCCAATCGTCGCATAGGCATTTCCGTTTTGCAGCGCGAAAAAAGGTCGTGGTGAAGGTGATTCCTGGCAGCATTTTACGTTTGTGTCGTCTGCGTTGCAGCACCACTGGTCGTCGTGATCGGCGCACTGCTTTATCGACTCGCCACCACCGACTGTCATACCTGTTGTACATCAGTCATGTTCAGTTTAACAAGTCAGCGTTCCTACCGTATGTGCACATGTTCGAAGCACATCCTTCCGACTTCCACGTCTTGTCTGTACAGCTATATCGGCCGTACAGGTTGTTGGCGGGATAGTGGCAGAGACCATTGTCGAGACACTCCCAGCTATCCGGACAGCAAGCAGAGCCCTCTGCTGATGAGCAGGGCTTCTCTGTGTCTGGGGCTTTGTTGCCATTGGGGTAGTCTGTTCGGTCAGCCGTTGTTCGTCGACAATACACGGGATACCTACAGCATTGCTGGGCAGTAGCATGAGCCGCAAGAGCAGCGACGGCAGCAGCGCGCAACCACACGAGTGTAGGCATGATGCGCTTTCGTCCAGAATGGATCCCTTGCTCGGTGAAAAGAGCGGTGCTTTGACGCCTCAATCAATCCTCGCACTCGGTCGACGTTGTGATCTCAAATGTCAAGTGGAGCTCGCTCAGAGTAAGGGTAAGTGAAGTGAGAGTGTGCAAGAAAGGACAAGGTCACGGAGACGGCCAGCAGCTGGAGATCAAAGACAAGGAACAGAAAGGCGACTGCACGATGATCGCACACACGACTCTGTGCCGACGCCGTTTGCACGCCATCCAAGCCCTGTCACTCTCATCCTGGATATACACCGAACGAGCACCCAACCGCAAAAAAGCAAACTTTACCCCATTCGTCCAATTAAACTTCTTTCTCCACAACGCATACGCCCCCCCTCGGTTGCTCGCAATTCGCTCGTCTAGTTACCGAGTGAGTGGCAGGTCACGGTGAGGTCATCGGATATAGCGGTCCCTTGCGCTAGTTCCAAAGCGGGTCCCCGTATCGCTCCTCAAGGTTGCGATGAAAGGTGGTACCAACCCGCAACCACGCCGATCCATTGTCGCGCACTGTGGCTTTAGCGAAGCCACGCATACCTGAAACTAACGCAGTCGACCTTTAATACAGCCCGGAATGCGAACCACTTTGAAGCTGCTGGTGGCGCAGAGCAAGCACTTTTACTGTTACTGCGCTCAAGTGACATGCCGCCAATACGAGCGATCGACGCCCCCCGTCGCGGGCGAGTTGAAGGGCATGATTCGAGAGAAGGAAAACCGGCTTTCGCGGCAGCAGTGCGCTACACCTGGCAGCTGTCTTGCACCCATCCATGCGGTTATCCGTCTCTTATATTAACGTGTGTCGTATGTAGCATGCGTATTTGTACCAATTGCCATGTCTCGCTTCAGCGTGTCGCACCTTGAACCACCACTCACTCCGCGGCTCCTATCTCGTACTGCACCTCGACCTTTCGCCTTCATGCCAGCGATGCATGCAGGGATCGCCCATCGGTAATGACGGCTTCGTATCACGGCGAAACAGAGCGTCGCGGAGTTTGAGCGACGCAAATGACGTTGTCGGCGTACGGGGAAAAGGTATCAAGGTTGCAAGCGAACAAGGCCGGGTAGAATTCTAATTGTGGCCCGCCGCCAAAATGGTCTCTCTCAGCCTCGCACGCCGTCGCCTTTGCCCTGCGGTAGGACTGTGACTTCGTACACCCACACTTTTTAGCATAGCTTCTACGGCTTCTACGCAACTTCGTATTCACGGCTGGGTACTTTGCATCGGAATCTCCGGTGCTCCACCATTGGCTTCATGGCGGTATGCAGGTCGTTGTCGATCTACCGGGCCTTGCAAACTATCGTAATCCGGTGATTCTAGGGGGTTGTACTGTTATCGCGAGCTCGTGTTCGTGTCGTTGTAAGGTGTTTGTACCACTGCGCAACATCTTGCACGAGCTGCTGTGCCCTGCGCCTGACAGCTTCTACAGCAGTACATGTAAACCTTTTCATTGTGCTATTTGAAGAGTCGCTGAGTGTCAAAAAGTACTCTTAGGCTCAACCTCGGTACAACTCCATCTTTCCATCGGTCCTTTCCTACTGCTTAGACTTCCACTAGGCGAATCTTTAGGCTCGCAGCTTCGCCGCGCAACTCCACCAAGACCCTCGCCTCCCGTATTCGGTCGGATATGGACATGATTCTTCCCTGCGTTGGTACGCTAGGCACTTGTGGCAATCTACATTGATTTATTGGAAACCGCATCTACACTGTTCGTCAGGTGCCGCGAGCACCATGGATTTTTCTGCTCGAACTACAAAAAAGCGCCTCGTTATACCCACAAAGTAAACTGCGGAATCGAATGCGAATGCTGACACGCCTGCCTAGGCAAGCGTAAGAACTAAAGCTATCAATTCTTCTCCATTCGAATAGGCCCTCTGATCTCTTGAGCTCTGTTGTATTGCGATTGTTTACACATATTACCGTAATTTTATCCATACTAATCATCACCACCACCAGATTATCAGAACGTCGAGTCTACGAAAGACATGTCTGGCCGCCGTTTCTGAACAACCGAGCAGCTAATTCGTCCACGGGCCCTTACCAGAATTTACGCGGCAAGAATCCCATCGGAATCCGAGCGCGAAGACCAGAACAAGACACGAAGCATTAACAAAAACACTCGATTCCTAATCAGCGTTTCCTAACGTGGAAACCAATCCCGCAATTTCCATCTTCCCATCATTATCACTGCATTTCGATGAATGCCGTTGAAATAACGCCATAGCTTGACAAGGGCCATCGCCTCCGTAGACTCTTGACACTACGCGTTCGTGAGGCGAGTCCTATGTGCGTTCACGACATATCGCTTTTCGTCTTGTTCATACACGACTCAGACCAGACGCCACTCTCGAGTCCACCACCTTCGGTCTTGTCCACTACTTATAGCAATGCCCTTGAAGACCACCGAGATACTTGTCAATCAACTTCAAAGACAATCTATGACATTGCTTGTTTCTTCCAATACCGGAATCCGGAGGGAAGCATATTCCCACGCTAACCACCATGGCTTCTCGTAGCTACGTGAACGATAGTTTCAAGCCGTGCTGTCCTTCAAATGCACAAGGATAATACCCCACTGAATCTAATTTCTCTCGGGTCCGCGATCGTATAAGCTCAATCCAGAACGCAAGCGGCAGACGGATAGTGCAGGATCCAGGTTTGTCGTAGATTATCGTCGGGTCATCAGGCCAGTGCCGAGTTCTAAAATTCAATCTCCTTTCGATTATCTCGATACTATCCGGATTGTCACCTTGAAAGCCGTTGTTGTACAGGTCTGGTAGGTGATAAAAGTCGAATCCGGCGCTATCAGAATTCACACACAAGGCTAAGTACCAATCGCCGTCCCATCCATACTTCTTGCAGATCGAGCTGGTCGGAATGAAGTATGTTGTGTAGTGACCTTGCCGTCTCTCGCCCAAGAATGCCTCGTTTTCCTCGACGAATCTAGGGGTGCCGGGTCGATTGGGGTGTGCAAAGAAAATCCAGTCCCCCCTTTGTTCAACGTTATCCGTCCTCACTTCTGCGTAGCGTGTTCGCAGGAATGTAAAACTCGACATGGGCCGTTTAATCCTCCACCATGTGTGGTGTCCGTGCAGCAATGTGCGACTTACAATGTCCAAGGAGCAAAGGCAGAAGGTGCAGGTATAGCATATCCTCCACAATAATTCTTCGACAGATGCTTCGTAGTCGACTTTGAGGTCCGAGCCTTCTCCACACAGCGCCAGCAGCGAGAAGACACGATCATGTGGAATTGCGCACTCCTGCATACGAAATTCCTCGAGGAGAAATATAAGGCTCTTGCCGTGGAAATGATTCGGGAGTACGTTCTGGAGTTGCAGCAACCGTATGAGATGTCGGGAGTCATCAGTGGGTCCGAGAAGTGGATGGAGATGATTCATTGGGAGCGTCACTTCGTCTGCCATCAGAGTGTGTTGATGTGCCAGAATGACTTCTTGAGTAACCCATGCTCGGGTCCAGTATTCATGGGCAAACAAGATTCCCACGTCCGTATCTGTTTCGTATGCGTTTATCCGGTATCGTTGATAATCCAACGCGACGTTCCGCAACACTTGGACTATGTCAGGACCTGTTCCTAGCCAAGATATAACTCCTCTCGCTTGGGAGTATATGCTTCCCATCTGCTGCACCTGATGCGTTCTCTCCGCAAGATTCTCCTGATCAATACACAACGCATCAATCCACAGCCATCCGAGATTCTTCTTTCTAGCCTGCTGCAGAAACCTGTATAGATTTATCCGAACGCGATGCGGTCGCCCATTGATAATGACTGTGTAGCCCCTGTCAGGCTGGCCCCATACGTAGGACAAGCAAATGTATTCATCATCGACCGTCGCATCGCGTATTTCGCATTCAATGTGTCCGCTTTCAGACCGGTCTGGGTGGAGCAAAAGCAGACGAATAGAGCGCTGAGAGAGATCGAGTGATGTGTAAGCAAATGATCTAGCCTTGTGGTCGGTATCGCAAGCCGATAAGCTCATGTTGTTGTCAAGGCCGGGTTGTAGCCGTCTGCTCTAGGATGTCGAAGTACTCTGCCAATTGAACACAAGTTACGCTGTGAGATGCTAGAATAGCCGAGATGACAGACAGACGTGCTGCAGGCAGCATAGAATCGAAGCGCCAAATAGATCCAACCCGAAATGCGGTCACACGATGTAAATCGCCCAAAACCGATTACATGGGCTGCACAACATCTCCACTCGGAATTCGCTTGAGATTAGAGTACAGACGATGCGTGGCAGCGTTGCAGGAATTTGCGTGCTGAAGGAGGTGCAAGGTTGCAATATTGGGGTTTTGTATGGAGGCTCTTGCCGAGCAAGGATGAGGCTTACTAGGCGCTGTGGTGCTGAAATCCCCACGACTGTTGATCCACTAACAACCTGCCAGCTGTAATCCACAGAACCAGAACTGCCCTGAGCGCGAAAAGCCCAAGCCCAAGCATTGGACGTTCTTCAAGATGCCATCCGAATTGACAACCACTATGCAGCGGGCGTTTTATCGAATCATTCCAAAGTGGTCAGCTCAAGTTCCATAGCACCTAGGTAATTGACATCAGGCTCTAGCATGGAGCGATGCATCGTTAGGTAAACGTCACATGATTGGTAATTACAACATTCATCCTTACTTACCTAGGCAGTCCCTCATGAAAACCATCCTTGGTCTCAACCAAACCACATCGTTGTGGGATATCGCGGTTCAAACATGTAAACAAGCTTCACTGTCAAAGTCACATCGCGCACCCCGTTTGCATTACGCTCGAGCACAAAACTCATTGTAGACATTCCATTCCATTGTAGATGCCTATCAAACATGCAGGATGCAGGAAAAGGTGTCATCCCAATCCCTCCTTGCAAGCCAGCAGCTCTCGCTCACTAGCTAAACCCCATCCACCCCCTTCCAAGTCATGATATCATATCGAAAGTCATAAGAAAGACTAAGATCGTTCGCTCATCGTCACGCTGTAGACATGATCGAGGCGTTTAGTGGGCTTGACGTCCGCCCTGAGTCTCGTTGGTGATGCCGATGCGCTCAGAGTTCTGTTTTTGAAAAAGACGGGCTAGTTAGCGACCATGTTTTCGAGAATGCGATGGTGTCGGAAACAAATCAAGTTAACATACCTCGCTCGACTGAACGTCACCCTCCTGGAGGATCTTCTTGAAGATGTCATCCTCCTTCGCGCCAGCACCAAACTCATTCTCTAGCTGCTGCTTGGAAGCCGTGTTGAGCACACCCTGCTTGCCGTGTCTGTTTCTCATGCGTCAGCAAAATAAATGTTCTCTTCCCCATTTAGGGGCGCCCAGAAAACACATTCTCTCTCTCTCTCCCTTTGCGAACGGGCTCGGACGTTGTGTTGTGACAAACTTACTCGGGTACCATGACCTTCCACCCAGCAACAACCTCAACCATAGGAATGCTGCTGTCAGCCTTCCACTTCTGCAGCGCCTCTACGCTCTCGACAAAGATGGTGAATTGGTCGCCTGAGCTGCCCTTGTAGAAGACTTGGGTCTGGGGGGAGTTTCCGCGGGCCATTGTGTCGTAGATGTGGGTATTAAGTGTGGTATCGTACGGAGATTAATTTGTGTGAGTGTGTGTGTGTGTGTGAGTGAGAGAAGGAGGATTGCAGTGTAAAGTTGAGTACTGGTAATGTGACGATGGAGGGGAAGCTATGGAGGGGCTATTTAGCTGCACGACAACACAGCTCTGAGCTTTGACCGGTAGCGCTACGTCATTGCCAAGCCTCACGCAGCTTTCATCGCAGCCCGGGAAGCTTGCAGGCTAAAGCAAGTAGAGTGGCTATCTGCTACGTAAGCCTCTTGGTTTCACAGGGCTGCATTGCGGCTCTTGCTGAAACAATGCGGCAAGGGCGTATCGTCTCCCCCCTCCCCTCACCGAGCAATGCGATGCTAGCATAGCTTTACTTAGTACCTGCCTATTACACACTTATCCAGAAAGCCAGAGAAGAGACCTCCAGTGACACCGCCACGATCCATCCACCCTAACTAGCAGGTTCTGGCCTGATGATTGCAGGCAGTCTCCGATATACGCTGCGATGTGGCTGAAATGGCATCCAAGCTTAATCAGTACAACAGCAACAACAACAAAACTACATACGCATAGTGAATCTGCATTCGAGCACACATTTTAAAGACGAAACTGCAAGCACAACTCTCATTTCAACAGCTATCCAAATATACGTGTCTTCTTTTTCTCTTTGCTATCGCTACCCCACCATCACGCGATCCATCGCGTGTGCCAACCAGCTAGTACAATGACGTCATGCCGTCATACCCAGTCCTCCCGATCCCCAGAGTCCAACGTGGTCACATGGGGGACGGGTGTACCTTGCAGTAAACCTTGCTGATCGCACTGCCACGACTGTTTGTGCACACTGCCCCATCGGCCTCTTTTGTTCGTCATTGCCGTCGTCGTTGTCGATGGCCCGTTTCAATTCGTGGTAATTCATAGTCTCATTAACTTGCTGTTTGAGCGCAAGGATAAGTCGTAGTTCGTAGTCGTCATCGTAACAGTCGTCAAGTGTCAAAGGAAAGCCATACACCTTTCCATCCCTAGCTCTTTGCCCCCTTCGTGTGTGTGTTGTCTTTACCTATCTAAAGAAATTAAAAATCCTACTCTTGCTCTTCGCAAACTTGTTCGAAGCCACACTCGCCACACCTGCAGAAGCCGGTCTCGAATCAGTCATGTTGTACTCGTATTGTCTCTTCTGCCTCCTGTTCTCCATGTGTTTCGTGACGTCCACTTCATTGGGCAGCACAGCACCCCTCAGCGTCGTTGCGGTCGAGTCCTTGCTCGCTTTTCTCTCGGCCGCCCTCGCACTAGAGTCTGATCGCGGAAGACTAATCAAATTCGTTGACAGCCTCCTAACTTTCTTCGGCTTATTCAGCGCCGTTTTATCAGTCGTCGCCGGCCGTTCGACGCCAATAGCACGATTAGCAAGTCTCCTCCGTCTACTCCCCGGCCTCGAATCCCTGACCTCAAAATCCTCAGGCAAAAACGCCGCAGGTGCGCTGTGAAAATCCACCACAGGCGGCAGTACAACAGCAGGCCGTCTGTCCGTCGCCACAGATTGCGCGCGCAGATTCCCATTCGACATCTTGTGCATGCGACTGCCAAAGGAATCTTCAGAGCGCGTGTTACTTGTGTTAGATAGGCTAGGAGATCTCCGCGAGAAATTGCTGGCGATGCTTGCCATACTCAGTTTGCGCATGACGGAGTTGGCGGAAGCGCGAATCTGGGTTTCCATCCGCCTGTTCGACATGCCAGGGAAGGGCAGCATGTCTTTCGTCCATACATCTTCTAGTGCCCCTTCTAGACGGACGCGCTCGGCTCGGCGGGGAGCTAATGTGGGGATGTGGTTTGAGGAGAGGTGAGATTGCGATCGTGTTACTATGCTGGGTGAGAAAGTAGGAGGTGTGTCTGGTAACTTCTGCGCCTGAGTGTTCTTGATGATGACTTGACTCATGTTTGTTTTTGCTCCTAGAGTCGCTGCTCGGTGGACGGACATGCGTCGCACGAGAGTGTTTGCGTGGCCGAAAACAGGGCCGAGAGACTTGAGTCCTAACGACAGAGAGGTGTACATGTCTTGCATGTTAGATTGGCCTTCGACGAAATCGTGTGTCTCGTAGACAATACGCTCGCGTAGCTGCTTCTTCCACACTTCTTCTTCCTGGGAAGTGCAGGCGCTGAAGATGAGTTCGTGCAGGCGGTGGCCGTGTTCGAAGACGAATTTCCATGTATGTGGAGCGGTGTGGCACTGGATGCCCCGGCCATTATCAGACTCCTCGATGGTGGCATTGGCGAGTCCAATCGAAGCGACGACGGTGTAAGATGTATGGAACCGACTTGCCGTTGCAAGTACCAGACAAGACTTGTACAGGACGCATACCAGGTATGAGCCTTTGATACGATCAGGTGTCTGATAGGTGACATGCAGAGCGCCACAAAGGAGAACGTGTCCAAGAAGGCGGAAGACGAGAGCTCGAGATATCTTGTGATCCGAGAAAGCTAATCGGTCCTGTAGCTGCCAAGTGATTTCAATGAGGCGCCGGGTCTGAGGGTCATCTTTGGCTTTATTGACTTCGCGAATAGTCTCTTGTAGACGGAAGAGAGCTTTCTCAAGTTCGGCGTGCGCTTCAGGGTCGTCGTATACGGGCGTGTGGCGGCATAAGTCATCGAATAGTAAAGGGTACTTACAGACTCGCTGAATCGGCTTGATCAAGAGATCGGGAAAACTGAGCGCCTTCTTGCTGCCCGCTTCTCGATTGTTTTCTGATGCAACCACCTTCTGCAGCGCTTCGACACCTCGCTCGTACTCTTGCCAGCCGTGTAGCCCTTTGCACATGGTGGTAAGGTCTTGAGACATTGTCGTCCAATGCGCACCATACTCCTCGTATGTGAAGAAGCGTTTCATCTAGAACGCGTCAGCAGCGGATATTGCAGCATCGAACATACGTACATGTTTATTGAAGACCTTGGCGATGTTCCCTGCCGTCTGCGTGTCGGTCACTAGGCCTCGGGGTCTGCGATCTGGTGACCGCCCAATCTCTAAAGAATGCCTGAGCCTTCTGGCCGTTTTGTGCTCGGCAAAGCGCCCTGGGACGATGTCTGCGCTATGGAATCGTATGTGTTTGGCTTTCGTCACAGGATACATCTCTTGATACGCGCTTTTTGTGAAATCTGCCTGAGGTACAACATGGTGGAGTTCGGCGAGCAAGTCTTCGTGGAGCTGTAAGATCTGAGAAATGTTCTGTTGTATGGATGATCGCGTCTGACCCGATAGAGTAGGAAGGGCAGTAAGGATCATGAAATAGTCCTAAAAGATCAGTAGTTGACCAGAGTGGCTTGTTCGGGTAACATACGTTGATCAAAACCTTGAGGTCCGCGATGTAGCTTTCCTCCGATGATATTAGTTCTTCAACAACCTTGCGACGCTGCAATGATCGAAGCCATGCGTTCTCATCAAGCACAGGTCCCAATGCCCCGCGATGGCTTTCAAGTGATCTACGTACTTCGGAGTAGTTGCCGCTTCTGTTGCCCAAGCGAACCTTGCCCACCTCCGAGCGAGGCGCGAGGCTCTTGCTAGCAGTGGTCATTGAAGCCGACTTCATTGCTGTCACGTAACCCATTGAAGACGTCATAGACTCTGACGTTCGACGTGCAGACTCAGAAAGTCTCCCTAGCGGTCGAGAAAGGACAGAGGAGCCGTCTGTAGGGTCAAAAGATGGCCGCGGTAAGTCTGAGAAGTTTTCTTTCCATCGCTGAGCATGCCGACGTTTTAGAGTACTCATCCACCGCCGGAAGGGTTGCGAGGAAATAGTAATCGCAACAGGTTCTTCTTCGTACTCTTCGTGTGGCTCGTTCCCATCGTCGTCGGTAAAGCGACCTTCTGGTAATGGTACATGGATGGCTTCGTAGAGGTTGAACAGGCGTGTATCATCAAAGTTGTTATCATCAGTGTCCATGTCTTCAGCTGAGTCTTGGTCGTCTTCAGACGACTCTACCACCTGCTGCGACTTATGGTACCCTCTTGGGATTGGCTTCGGAAGGGCTGTCAGTCGTGAGAAAGACGGTGGTGGTCGACCAGGCCCACAGTTCCGCTTCCGTGGCTCTTCGACAACATGCCTGGTGTTGAAAGGAAAGCCGGGTTTTTCAGGCACAAGATCCAGCAGCGACTGAGAGGTGAGGGGTGGTGTGTTCTCGTTACTTGGAGACCAGTCGGCTCTAGTCGCACCGAGGGAATACAATGAGCACGCGGAGCCATTGCGAGCGGCAATGTCGCTCAGCGGTGCAAGCAACGTGTCTTTTTGAGGAGAGCAGGAATTCAGGTATGGATTGTCGCTGAAGGAACGCTTGAGTGGGCTCTGAGGCCGAAGCGACAATACATATGCCATGTCAGTGCAGGTCGAGTAGTCGACGCTATGATAGGACGTGTACGAAGGCTTGTTGCGGCATGAGATAAATACTACTGCATCCAACGACGATGGCTTAAGGAGAGACTTGGTCGATGCAGAGCGACAAGGAAGCTGGACGGAGCATGTTGGATATGACTACTGGGTACGCAGGCCGAAAGAGGTCTGGGGGAAAGTGCACAGCGGCGCAAATTCTCCAGAACGTGATGGCGGCATTTAGAGGGAAAGGGTCCAGACGGCGCATCGTAAAGCGCAGACGATCGGGAGCCATGGACGGAGTTTCGTTAGGGGCAAGTGGTGAGCCATGGACTCAGAGCAGCTAACATGGCGGCCGCATTGTGTTTTCCATATTTTGGTAGTCGCGACTTACTATGACGGCAAGAGCGACAGTAGAATGACTTCGCTTTGGCCATGTCGATGCTGGTAGCGAGGCAGCTGAATCGAATGCATGTGTCTTGCAAGGCTATTCGCGATGCACGTACGTCACGCGCGTGGCTTGCCGATTACTGAAGTTTGGTAGAGAAGTGAAGAAGTGAAAGAAGCAAGGCCGACTGTTCCGGTAGTTTTGCCCCGCACCATTAGCCACTCTGAGCCAGCTCGAGCTCCCCTCCCCCACACCAAGCTCAGCTGGGCAAGCTGTGGTAAGCAGTCCAACAATCTTGCGACCTCATTCTCACAGCGTCTACATAATGGATGACATCCACGCGCCGACTGTCTCTTCGGGGCCTACGTCATCAGGCTACTCGAATGGCATTGCAAAAGAGCAGCTGACGCTCCAGGAGCTCATGGCGGAAAAGGATCGAGTAGAGGCAGAGTTGAAGGCATTAGGGCAGGTGCTGGATTCGGTACGCAAGTCAGGGCTGTAGGCGAGATAAGCAATTAACGTCTTGTTGTAGCATGGCGTGCGCATGAGTACCGGCCTGACGACCCTTGACGGCTTCCCTCGCAGTGACATCGACGTCCCTCAGAGTGAGCGTTGCAGGAGCCTGCGTCATGCCACAGGTCGCTGACCGTCGCAGTACGAACGACGCGCGCGCGCATCATCCGGCTCAAGAATGACTACAAGGACCTCATGTCGCGCATCGAGAAGGGTCTCCACGAGCACCACGCCCGACTACAGGAGCAGGCGAGCGCTCCTGCGACGACCAACGGAGCACAGGCAGAGCTCAGCGCCCCGCCCGCCGCCATCGAAGCGCCTTTCGCAAAGGTCAACAGCGTCGTGGCAGACAGCCCGGCAGCCACAGCGGGCCTGCAGGTGGGCGACACGATAACCAAGTTTGGCTGGGTGGACTGGACAAACCACGAGAGGCTGTCGCGCGTGGCAGAGGCAGTGTCGCAGAACGAAGGGGTGCGTCGACAATACACGGGATACCTGCAGCATTGCGTGCACGAGGCTTACAGCATACAGATTCCCATTACCGTCAAGGCGCTGCGACCCAACCCATCGGGCGGCCCGGCAGAGACAGTCCAGATGCAACTCACACCACGGAGGAACTGGGGCGGAAGAGGGCTATTGGGCTGCCATCTGCTGCCCATGTAGGGTGGGCGAGCAGATGGATGCGCTGGGTGGCGCACTGGTTTGGCCAACAAGCATAGCGACAAAGCATAGCATGATACCCGGCGTTAATTGCTCGAGACAACGAGACAAACGAAACATTTCAGAGGCGTTAATTGCTCAAGACCAAACGAAACATTTCATTGTCCAAGTTGCTTGATGGCAGCTTGATGGCTGATTGTGTGTGTGTGATGACTGCTGTAGCCTAACCTGCCTAACCTGCCTGGCTGTGAGGTCAAAATTGCGGAAGGCGCCAAGAGATTTACACCGCCCGGGCGCCAACACTTGAGCACAACAAAACCTCTTCTTGCCCACTTCACGCCCGCAACTTTCCCCACTCTTTATCACCTGTAAGTCTGCACCACCGCCTTTTGCTCAATAAAACCGGGCGACCTCGACTAACATCTTTTCTGCTCAGCTTCTGCCCACCAACCCCCCTCACTCACACACATCACCCCGCCACAACACTCGACAACATGGCCGAGACTGCCGCACAAGGCTCAGTCCCAACCTTCAAGCTCGTGCTTGTCGGTGATGGTGGTACTGGAAAGGTACGATGCTTGTTGCAGTCACTCGCGCAGCCGTCTCAATAGAGAGACTCTCCACGGCTGCGCGATTCAAGGCTGCGCAAACCGTGGCAGAAGATTGCTAACAGCCCCACTACAGACCACCTTCGTCAAGCGCCATTTGACCGGAGAGTTTGAGAAGAAGTACATTGCGACGCTCGGAGTAGAGGTCCACCCTCTCGGCTTCACCACCGTATGTAACCCGATCCTCGTCACATCGCGCGATACGGTACTAACCAGATAACAGAACCTCGGACCCATCCAGTTCGACGTGTGGGACACCGCTGGTCAGGAGAAGTTTGGTGGTCTCCGCGATGGATACTACATCAACGGCCAGTGCGGTATCATCATGTTCGACGTTACCTCGCGTATCACATACAAGAACGTCCCCAACTGGCACCGTACGTCTCCCTCACTCTTATGATTTACCACAAGACTAATCTCTTCAGGCGACCTGGTCCGTGTCTGCGAGAACATCCCCATCGTCCTCACCGGTAACAAGGTCGACGTCAAAGAGCGCAAGGTCAAGGCAAAGTCCATCACCTTCCACCGAAAGAAGAACCTCCAGTACTACGACATCTCCGCCAAGTCCAACTACAACTTCGAGAAGCCCTTCCTCTGGCTCGCCAGGAAACTCGTCGGCAACCAGTCTCTCGACTTTGTCGCCGCCCCTGCTCTTGCGCCTCCCGAGGTCCAGGTCGACCAGGCCGTTCTCGACCAGTACCGACAGGAGATGGAGGCCGCCTCTGCCTTGCCCCTGCCCGATGAGGACGACGCCGATTTGTAGATAACGGTCATGAGCGCTGCTCTAGGCCACGGCTAGGGCTCTAATGGGTATACGACATGGGATGAGATTTAGTTGGAATGGGAAACAGATATGCGACCGAGGGCATCTTTAGTGAAAATTGGGCATGACGAGGAGGAATTGCGGAGGTATCCGACCTGAAGCGCTGGACTAGCCGGCGCTTCGACGAATGAACAACTAGACGTTCTGCATGAATGACTCAAGACACGATTGACGATTAGGAAGGCTTTTCGATTCTACTATTAACACGCACAATGGCGCAACTATCACTACTACTACTACTACTACGACAACAGCATGCTTCATGTCCTCGTTAGGTCCTTTTCCAACACCACCGCATTGTTCCAACAACGCTGGCTCGCTGCTAGGGGATTTCGTGAATGCGCCACCTGATCCCGAATAGAAGATACGACAATATGATATCCGATGTGCTCATGATACAGATAAAGAGGGTCGCATGGAAGCGGACATGAAAGCGCCTGCAAGACATCGCAGCGATAGAGAATCATCGACAGATTAAATGACAAGATTCGCTCGCTGTACATGAGAGACGCATGTGTTTTGACGACGCAACAGAACATCAAAACAACAAATGATATCGGCGCGAGAACGAGACAAACTAAATCAAGATTGAACAACAAGAGCAAGCAAGACAAGTCAGTGTCTACGACTTCAACATCCTAGAGAAGAAAGGGTCAGCATATGATCAAGCACTCGGAGATGCCAGAAGAAGAAAGGAAAGGGAAATACTCACGGCGCAATCAACTGCGCATACTGCTGCGTCGGGACCTCGCGTCCTTCCTCGATGACCCCTCTGATGACATCCCCTTGGTGCAAATTACTCCACAAATGTATTGACATGGCCTTTTTGCTGTTGAATAACGTATGCGCCACGCCCCTCACCTGTCCGAGCACCACATTAGCAATCGGCCACGTATTGCTATACTGTTGCAGCGTGCCGACATCGAGGCGTATCGATTGTTTAATGATGTCGTCCTGGCCGTCTGGAACGAGAAAGGACCAGTAAGAAAGATGGACGACGCTCGCCATTACCACGACGCAGGTGAAAAGGGGGGTATGCTTTATCAAGTTTCCGGGCAGACGAATCAAGGCCGAGATGTTCTCCGCAGACGTCAGGCACTTTGCCGTGTGAATCTCTCTCGTCTGCGTCGGCAGCAAGACTTGGCCTGGCTGCACACATATATTCACGCCTTCGACGCGTCCAAAGCCCAGATTGCTGCGCGGCCGATGCAGCATGATTGTGCTGCCGGCATTTACCATGTGCGCTTGGAAGAGGACCTCGTCGATGTGGCCGTCGTTTGATACGAGCTCCATTTTCGAAGCGGGTAAGTGGAGACGCCAGTTACAAAGATATTGGTCTACGACGTCGACGGCGTGGTACTCAAAGGTGCTGTCGAGACGAGCTGTTTCGAAGACTTTGCCCAGGATGCGGATGGCGTCTATCAGGTAGGTGAAGGAGGAGAAGGTGAAGGCGTGGGCGAGAAAAGACGAGTCGTCGTAGTCTTGGAGGGTTGGGGGATAAGGGATTTGCTGCGCGTACGTGTTAGTCTTCTCTTGTTTTTTTTTCCCTTCTTTCTCTCCTTGGGGTCAACTATGCACTCCGCGGGGTAGATAAGGTTTGACATGCAAGTCATAACTCTATCAAGTGTGACATGCAAGTCAGACGATCTCATCTGGAGCGGCAAGGGTATACGATCGCACTAAAGAAGGAAACATTGCCAAGCCGATTTGACACATGTCAGAGTGTGATAGCAGGGGTTTGAGGGACTTACACCTGAGAGATACTGGTCTTGCTCGCATGGCAACGGGACGTCGGTTACTACGTCTTTCAGTCTGAACTGCACACCTGGATTGACTGCTGTCATCATGCCGTTGGCTGTGAACATGGACCACCATGTTCTCCGCCAGCTCTCTTCCAACTGAGGGTCGTTTTCTCCATGCACAAGCGCAAACTCCATCCGGTTGAGGCCAATCTCCAGCGTCAGATTTTGAGCGATGCTGAAGATTTGTGCTGAGCGTGGGACCTCGTTGTGAGCGTGGAGACCAATGGCAAAGAGCAGTAGTGCTTGTACCGACCACGCGTCTCTCGGGTAGTTGTTGCTGTCGATCTGCTGATCCAAAGCTTCTTTATACATGGCCGTGGGCACGGATGGTATGAAACTGGACCCGATGAACTGGACAGCGTATTCCAAAAGTGGGGCATGGCGTTCCTTGAAGATTTCCACTAACCTGGGCTCCGGGAGACAAAAGGGATGTGAGTTGTAGAAGAAGTGGTAGAATGCCTGAATAGCAGTCTCTGGGCCCAAATGACCAAAGCGGTTCAGACGTGCGGTTCCATTTAGGTTGAGTTGAGCAACTGGTGGGGCCACAGGTCGGACGCCAAGGCCATGAGTTGGGCTGAGCTGGTTCAAGCCGGCATCGCCATTGTAGGAATACTCTGGTGAGGAGATGTGGCCACTGGTCACTGGAACTTCACCTGACCGTGTTAGACATGTCAATTTGATCATCGCGATTACCCACCATTTGGAGTCGTTGTTGTCGTCGTCGTCGTTGTCGCGCTATCTTCCTTGGTTTTTCGCTTTCCTTTCCAGCCTCTTCGCGACTTGATGTAGGTGCATTCCACATTGTCGGTCCTACATCGGGAACATCGTACACCACCGTCGCATTTCAAATGTCTGCTGCGACATGGGACGCATGCGACAGCGACCGATGCTCTGGTTTGGTCGTTAGGCGACTGCTTCTGACTGGTCTTCCCGCCCGTTCCTTTGCTGCCGCTGTCGGATTGGGGAGTTTGCGCCGGCGGGGTACTTCCATTGATGCTGCTCTGGGTGGTAATGCTTGCTGTCGGCGACAGATGGAGCCCTAGCGAGGGCGACAATGGCGATGTGGAGTCCGATTGCGAGTGGAAGTCCTGGTGGCCACCACCCCAGAAAGCGGGATCTACGCCAGCCGAGATGTTGGAAGGAGCGCTGCCCGTCATGTGCTGACCAGGCATCGCCATTGCGGAAGGGGGCATCTGAATTGACACCTGTTCTAATCGCAACGTTTCAAGCGTCCACGGTATCCAGGTCGGTGTGGCTTTGCGACTGTGCGTAAGGTAGAGACGTTGAGGTTCCTAACGGGTGCGGGCTGCTAGACTGTTGACAAAGGCACGTGATGCCCTTGGCTTAGCGCTGAATCGCTCGCCAAAAAGCTTCCGACTCTCGAACCCGTCTGCCATCCAATCGGTCGTGTCCGCCCAACGCAAGATGCAAGGCAAGGAGAGCCTCAGCCTCCCTTTTCGGCCCCTCTGCGACCGCCCTCATTCAGCTCTTCAGCTTAGGACAACATGTATTGTGCAACCTCATCATCGCACCGTCGAACATGGGCCCGGACAACCCCGTCGCCTTTGACGCACCGTTGGATCCTGCCGTCGCCTGTACTTCGCTTGTACGATTCAACGCAAGCCCACCGGGTTTGAAACGCGGGATTGGCGAATCGGGTCCCGCAAAGTGCCTACACGGAGATGCCGTCGTCGATTACTGGGCCGTTTTTGGGCGCATTCCCGTCACCGCCGCGTTGCTAGCTCACAGTCCGCTCTTCGCTCTGGCAGTTTATCGTGGGGTTAGTGGTTGTTGCGCACAGTTCGGCGGAAAGGGTTGAGTGTAGCGACCCAGCTGAAGTAGCGGGCTTGCCACATGATCTGTCTGATGCGATTGGGCGTTCTTTTTAGTCGACGAAATGTGATTCGCACGCAGTGCGGGCAGCGTCGTAGCAACCGAGTGTTGCCTCTAGGATTTCGCCTCGGTCTAGGATTTCGCCCCGATGCAAGGTCGCCTTGGCTCGCTATGCTGACTTTGCCTTATCTGATACCAGTAACGAGCCCACCCACATGACGAGGAAAAGCAATTCAAGCGCAGTTTGGATTGGTCAGAAGAAGGTTTTCTAAACGCTGGATGGACATGAAAGGAGGCGGACCTGCTCGAAGCTTCTAGAGCTTGTTAACGCTCGATACTGGTTTTATCACTTCCTGGACGTGGCTGCAACTTCCTGAACAATGTTAGCCTCGTGGCGATTCATGGCCGCAACGAACAAGAGCATGGAAGCATGTCGCGTCAGAATACTTCCGTCTTTTGGACTTCGCGCTCGAGCCCGATAGATCATGTCGTGGAAACCTCGGTGCTGGTGCGTAAGAACACTGATTCGTCGAACGTCCTCATACAAGATCGTCGCATCTGCATTGGTTGATCAGTTGAGGAAATTGGGTATTGGATTGAGATGATATCTATTTTGATGGAATGCCGCCGATGCTGGAGAATGCAGGAAATGAGCGTTGGAGAAAACAGGTCCAGAGCCGCCGGAAAGGCTATCGAACTACAACTCTGGGCATCGAGCCTTGGTGAAGTTCCACACATCACCAGAACAGTCATTCAGTGACCTCTCTGCCTTCCACTGCAGCTCGGTCTCTGCACGTCGCACCTCCGCCACGCAGAAGCCGACGTCTCCCGCCCTCCGGCCAACTTCTCTGGCTGGAATCTTCCGTTGAGATGCATCTTCCAAACTTTGGAGTACTTCACGAACGGTGTGTCCTCGCCCTGTTCCTGGTCGGAGTCAGTATGAGACCTTAGAATGGCTTGCGCTTTTTTTTTTTCCAAGAGCTCTGACTTACCGAGATTGTAAGTTCTGAATGGTGCATTAATGTGCCCAGCTGTCGAAGCTGCCAGAGCTGCAATGTGGCCTCGAGCCAAATCCACTACATGGATAAAATCTCGAACGGCTGTTCCATCTGGGGTGTTCCAATCGGTACCAAAGATGTCTAAAACTGGCTTGATGCCGGTTAAGACCGTCGCAATTACTGGAATCAGGTTGCTTGGTTTCTGCCGAGGGTCTTCACCCAGGATGCCAGACTCATGACAACCAACCTGCATCCGTTAGCTGTGTCTCCGTATCTCGAGTGTTGATTGTACATACCGGATTGAAGTATCGCAAGGCGGTTATGGACCATGTGGGGTCAGAGAGTGCCAGATCTGCCAAGATGGATTCACACATGAACTTCGATCGTCCGTAAGGCGATGTGAGGCCTAGGACTCCTGGTAAAACTCGACGTTCCGTTCCATCGTTCTCTACGAACGACTCCGGATGGTGGACACAGAGTTCCTCGCGAAGAGGTAGTCCGCAATTAGCGCCCTCGCCATATACCGTTGCGGAAGACGAAAACACAAAATTCTTGATGTCGAACTCTTCCAGCAAGGCAAGAAAGTCAACGAGTCCGCAAACGTTGTTGTTGTAGTATTTCAAAGGCATCCGGATGCTCTCTTCCACCGACTTGTACGCTGCGAAATGGATGACACCTGATATCCTACATTGCCGCTCAACGATAGGTTCTGGCGCGTCATCCATATCCATGTCAATGCCGGAATCCGTTCTTTGCAGTGTCGAGTACGGATAACGTGCTCCAATAGGTGCTGGCTTGTTGACGGTTGAATATGATGAATAGCTAGCCAATACGGTTTTCATTTGTGCGCTTCTGTAATCCAGCTGACGGAAGTGTAGTGCTGGCATTCGACGCTCCCGCATTGCGCAGTATTCCGCGGCAAGAGATCGTACTCTTGTCAAGACGTCTTCGTACGAGTTGCTCAAATCGTCGATGACCAGGACGTTATAGCCTTCCTTGAGCAATTCCAATACCGTATGCGAGCCAATATACCCCAATCCGCCAACGACCATGATGAAAGCAGGATTAGTTCCATTGATGTCTAGAGGATCCGCAACTAGTTCGTCGTCGAATAGCACAGATCGCTCTGTTGATGGTGTGTTGAGTACCTCTGGTGTCACAGGAGGCGACGGCGAATATTGCGAAGAGAATGACGACATGTTGGATAAACACGATTGCTTAGCGAATGGATGAAGAGGAGAGAATTTGTTGATCTTTACGGCGCTACCTTTCTCGATACGCCCGAAAATCTTTATAGATGCCACCACTCAACAACAGCCTCAACTCACGATCAATTAGGCAGAAGGCGCCAGAGTCTGACTTTTCCTGCGCCGTCAATATCGTTTACGTTGCTTGGCACGATGCGGCCTCTTCATCCCGACTCATCAGTTTCGGAGTCTCCTCAGGTCTAGCACTCTCGAAATATACTCTCGCATCGCTAACCATCCCTGTCCAATTTGCATGACCGAGCGCGCAATACGTACCCGTGTGGGTTGCATTGCCGCGTCTTCTAATTTCTGAAAATACCATCATCTGGGCCACAAAAGATCCAACGTGGGCATACTGCGAGGCTTCTTTCGATACCCGATCCCGGCATGCGTTAAGCTTGTTCTCGGTGCCCAAGCATACTACGGAAGGATTCATTCCACATTGCCGTCCGTCAGCACTCTCTCGCTGTATCTCTCCAGGTGTTGCTCTCCGTTGACTGATCTCCACCGAAATCGATATTTCGTCGTCCGCTCTTAGCTAGCCGCGCTCCAAGTAGAGCTATGGACAGGCGTGGCTTGGTGATTCTTCCGCTCTACGTCTGTCCCTTGGCAGGCGTATGGGACGCCCTTTACAGTGTGTATGCCACGGTATCTTCGTGTTACTGTTACTTGTCATACCGTAGCTAAAGACATCCGCTACCCAAAGAGTATCGTCATTTCTTTCGAGTACAGTCTACAGTCGTAATCAACATACATAATGGGCCCGGGAAGGGCGCATTGCCGAACGCAGAGTATTCAACAGTCACCGAGGCGCTCAACTTGCTCAGCAATGTACGCACTATCGGCTATGCAGCAACCACGTGGTGTACTAGGGACTTGAGTTCTGTACTTGACGACATTGCTGCCTCTTCGGTCTGAGGGAGAATACAGTTCTTCACTAGCGTTGGGCGGCATCTTCGTCGACGAGACACCTACACAGTACGCCTCGACCCATGCTGTGTATTTTGATAGCATCTCCTCAAGCAGTTGAAGAAAGCCTCGGACTAAAGGACAGTTATATTGGTAAGCTGAGCCCGCTTTCCTTTGCATTAGTAGCACGAACGAACGCGGAAGTTGGCTCTTCTGGATCCTTGTTGTGGTGCCATCCACTCTACCAGGAGTTTCCGAGTGACTTACGCGCCTCGAAATACCCAAACTTCAATCCCGGCAGTTACGTGAGCATAAGGCTAACTCTGCACTCCCGTCCACAACCCTGGCGCCCTTCCAGAGCCTCTTTATTTCGATGAAGCAACCCTCAAAGTACCGGACCTGTCGCTGGGACGGCCTTGTGTAATCGAGAAAAACTCGCGCTTCTTGTGCATTCTGTACCAGATCTGACAACCATCGATACGGCTAGTACGCTACTGCAACTTTTTGCTGTAGATCGTAGCATCTGGTTGACGGCTGGCTCGGACTCTACCAACTCTGATGGCGTTGTGTCTGCATTCATCGAACACTTGGCTGCTTTGTTGAACCAGAATCAGCGGATGACAGTGGATCGATCGCCCCAAGACATACATGTCTTTGACTGTTGACATGCGCCACTGTGAGTTCTCCGGGGAAGAGCCGACAGCGCGTCCAAGTGGAAAATACCAAAGGTAGTACACGCAATGCACCAAGTCCTTCTGTGACACAAGCGGTCCGCCATGCCGTCGGTTGAATCCAAGGAAAGCCGAAGAAGCACTTTTCCAACTCCACAGCGCCGCCTCCAAACAAGCAACGATCATCGTAAAATCTGACCTGGTAATTCGGAAACCAAAAAGTCCAAAGACGGTTGGCTTCAACATTACCCCGACCCGTACCCTGTTTGCCGCTTTAGGCGGCAGATCTAGCTCATCGAACCCCTGCGCGGTACCCCGGATCGAAAGGCTAAGCCTTTCATCCTGCACTAGGGCTGCATGTATACTCTATTTCAACCTTGGCCTTCATTTCGATATGCAATCTCTGCTTCGCAATGCTTGGGCCCATGCCCTTCTCCGCCTTTTCACAAGCGAAGTGCCAGGCTTCGAAACTTGAGACACTTTCTTTGGGGTATGTCATCCTTGGAGAAATGCCGCGGTTGTTTCGCGATGCAATAGAGGCTAAGTGCCGGCGGCTCTCCGTAGGAGTACCTTGTTCATACTGCACGAACGGGTGGAAGTCCGAAGTAATGCCGCCATGACTGTTGTGTCACGGAGTGTAAACCTCTCTATGTCATGCCTCGATCCTTCGCTTGCAGCAGCGTATGCTAGGGCCTTGTCTCGCGCCATACGACTTTAGTTGTACCGAAAGAATTCCTCCGCTGCATTTTCGATCGATCAGGTCCGAGAGCAAGTTGCCAAGCCCCAAATTTCACCACCAATGACGGGGTGCGTGGGAGCGACCAGTCGATTGAGATCTTACATGCATCGCTACTTACAGCTGTTCAGAGTATTGGCTGGTCGAGGTCTCACGACAAGACAGCGACACAAGACATTGCGCCTTTTGGCGTGATCAGCCTCACGGAATGACGACATCGACCCGCTTCACCATATACTCTTGTTGGTCGAGGCTCCGATGGGATCATGCGTATGAATAGATGTATCTCTCAACAAACATTTCCGGTATCCTACAGAGTCTATCCGGGCCGCGTGCTGGTGCCTCAACTACACCAAGCGGATCCCGATATACGCATCAGGACCCGGCGACCGAGGAGGCAATAGGAATGTGCATGATCGCATACACACGTCCTTCTCCAGATTCTCAAAAGCTCGTATTGTACCCGGTGCCACGGATCGGCCGTCTATTGTGGCTTGCATGTAAGGGAAGGATTTGTGTAACGCATCTCCGGGTCCGCTGGCTAGTTTAAGAAGGTCGGAAACGACCCGAATGTCTTCAACGTCGATCCAAACGGCCCTCTAGAGATCCCGACCCATTGGCAAACTAAGTGTTTCGTATTGCCTGCGAGATGTGCATTGCGATCCTGGCTGCACTGTGCATTGGTGCCTTGGAGGTAAGATTTCCGCAAATAGGGAACCTATCCGCCCGCCACACATTCTGCGTTGTGGATCTGGCGACTAACGCACCATTTCATATCGAAATCTGCGGAGAAGATCGAGGTCTGAAGTTGGCAGAGCGAGCCATCCTTCTATGCCACGTCAGCCATATGGGAAGTCGGTTCAAAGAAGACTGTACACTCATCCGACCAGGAAACAATCAATATCGGTTTTCACCACAAGAATAAGCAAGCTCAATGCCGAGCACAGCTACCGCAGCCGCCCCAGATTTCCCACTCCACTTGCATCGGATATTGGATCACATTCAACCGGTCGGTAACTGCCCCTTAGTATACCGGACCCGTACCGCGATTGAATGCATGATTCCTGCTTGATGCGTCAAATGGGCAAAAGTCGGTGACACCATATTCCACCACTGAGCTGGTGATGCTCGAACATGTGCCACCTATGTCAGATCAACGGCCATGGCTCATTTCGACGTAGGCACAGCGAACCGGTATAAGCAAGGTTTCTCCAGGTTTTGTGGCGGCTAAATGCCAAGTCAAATAATCCGAGGTTACGTATACTGCATGTTCCACATACCCAGGGTCGCAAGGCTGGGGTAAAGGAGATGTGGAAGAATGAAATCTCGCCTTGGAGTTCAGCTCGCCGGTAATATCGAAACTCATGGTCTTTGAAAGACCTACGTTGATGTAGTGGGTGCTGAGACAACCTTGCATCACGATTTTGAAGTTGCTACACGAGAGATGCTATGTCAGCAAGCCTGGTAAGTCTTTACGTGACTCCTACTCCAATCACACGCCTCTAACCGGCATGAGACACACTGTCGCATTACTCCAGGAAGAAAACCCAGGATCTGAGAGTTGAAATATTTCAAGGATGGCTTGTGGCTCGTATCCTCTAGTCGTGGTTACCAAGACTCTCATCTACATCTGTGACTTCAACCTGCCGATCGCAGTATTCCACCCACCCATCCAACTCCATCTTCTTCAACACCGTGCTAAATCCTTCGCTCCCTTCTCCTTTCCCCTTTCTGTCGCAGGACTGCCCTACTGCATCACCTTGCAATCCCTGTTCTGCGCCTGCCCCATCCGGATACTCGATGTGGAAAACGGGCTTCCCCGCAGCGATGAATGGCGCGAAAGTGGTGCACTCACCGTACTTTACACATTCTTCATTGACGCTAAAATGTACAATGGGTAGAACAGCTGGTATGATATCTCCGGCGTTTTTAAGTCCAAGCGTAAGATTCAGAGGCGCAGTAATATCCGATAGATACTGCATGTAAGCGATTGAATCATTCTGGGTGAGGGAGAGGCCGTTATCGTTTTGCTACATCGCAGTTAGCACAGCGACAGTCTTGTAGGTTCGAAAGCCTCAACGGTAAACCAAGTACTCACGTAAGCATCAACATTATCAGGATCAACACCATCACACTCCTTGCTCTTGGCCAAATTTACTCTACTCTTCATCACCCTTCTCACGTTCTCACTCCCCAGGTCCAACCATTTCTCGCCTGGCCACCCGTCTAGGTCGTGTCCTAGATCCTCTTTTGTAAACTCTGAAGCGTCAGGCCGCCAGTCCTCGTAGCTTCCTGCGCTGAAGTAACATATCACTCTCTTGTCCATAGCATGCAGTTGTTGAATTGTCTCGATCGGCGTGTCGAAGAGGTCGATGTCGAAGATGCTGACGTTGGGGGTTGTGCTGGTCTCAGAGGAAGAGAGGATGGGCGGGTGAGAAAGGATGATTTGCCAAGTATCCGATACGGATGGTACCCATGGTAGTGTGGTGTTTGGTGCTGGCAGAGGTGTTGGTGGAGAGGAGTTGTCGTCGTTATTGTCGTCGCCCTGTCCCAAGGTAAGACCGAGACCTAATCCCAAGCCGAGCGCGAGTATCAAGACTACGATGAGAACTGCGAGAAGAATCTTGCGCCGCAAAGACCATGGCTGCCTCGGTTTGGGTTTCGCATCCATTACGTGCTTGTGTTGTTGGTCGCTAGAAAGAGAAGGTCGAGGTTTGCTAGTACGCCCTGTTGGTTGAGCTGCTGCTAGACACACCTCAGACGCGAAGATTCCTTTAACAAAATTCTCGTATACCTAAGCACGGCTTATCTCCAAACTTCAATGCGACCATAATTCATACGCAACAGCCTCCAGACCTATCGAAAATTCAATAGTCCCAAAATCTCATGAAAGGACGCGTCGCAAGCGGCGCAGCGCAGCGCGCCGCGCTGCATATGTAGTTAATATAAAGCTGTTATATGTAAGACGGACAGTAACTGCATATGGCATAGCTTTCATGCAGTGATATTGCGGGTGTGGCGTGTTGCAGAAACATGCTCTTGGCTGGAAGATCGTGCAATAGAGAGCGAACGATCACCAACAGATGCTGTTTGAATGATGTCCAGGAAGCAGGGTCAGAGTAGCAGAGAATTTAAGCGTGAACACTAGGGAATAACGTCACACTGTGGCTTTGACGATATGGAAGTTGGTATAAGCCCATGTAGCGAGCTGAGGCGCTGCCACCCCGCCAACTTGGTTGCCTTATTCATCCATATTGGCGAAGTGGCTATGCAGGTGTGGGGCTGGATCAGGGGTCGGTAATGACCGCCTAAATTCCGCAGGCTCTCAGTAGTGAGCGCATATACAGGGTAAAAGCGAACAAAAAGGCAGTAGGGATCTTAGGGTGGAGTTGGCTACTGCCAAAACATGTACATTGAAGATGAAAAATGCGACAGCCGTTTGTACCGCGTTTTCCACTACATGCGCTTAGTTTTACAGCGGAATGGGCTTTGAGAACTTGTACTGCCTGCTTGCGCCACTCATCGATACCCACAATGTAAGAGGATCGCTTCCAAGCTGCTCTTTGGTTGCACCAGTCGTGCTTGTCACAGCCCCTGGAAAAGTGATGGGTATCGTCGTTCCGCACTTATTGCCTCCAGCTGTGTATACAATAACAGATTCGATACTGGCGCCGTTTGCAGATGCTGTCCATGTCAAGCTTGGTCGGCATAGGTCGCGAGTTTGTCGATTGATGAATTGCTGCGCGAGATCATCATGTTTGAGTGTCTTGAAAGGCCAGGTAGTTCTATAGTGCGTTAGTCGGTGGATCTTTTCATGAAGCAAGATCTACATACAGGCGCATCATCTCAGCAGAAATGACCTCGATCCACGTCATGAGTAGCGAATACTGCCCGCTTTTTCCATTCACGGTGGTAGATGGAACGTCGTTGACGCGCATATTGGCCTGATGGAACATGTACCTAGATTGCAAATCAGTACAACTCTGTGATGCGGCAAATATGATTCGCTTACGGGTCCCAATGCAACCCGAAAAGATTGCGTATCGCGGTGTCTCGAGAGTTATTCATTAGATCGTCGAATGTTCCCTTGCCTGCTGATGTATCGATCCATTCTTGCAATGTACAAGCCGGAAGATCGCAGTTGTAATAGATAAGTGTAGCCCAGCGTGGCATGACGTTGAGTCCTGCATAACCATTGTTCTCAACGTTGGTAGTCAATGGCCAGAAAGTGTTTTGCTGATTGCGAAGGACTGGACGCGTATTGTCTCCTACCACGTTGACGATCCCGTTGTCCATCCATCCCTTGATGGCATCTGCGTTGTGTAGACCAGTGATAGCAGGCGGGATGATACCCTTCCCGCTCCAGCGTTGAGCAGCATCAAGGCCGACCTGTTTCAGCCAGGCTTGGTTGAACGTGATCTCTTTCGATGTATCGGAGTACGTCGCGTTGGTCAGGTCGGCGTGCGAACTGGTTTCGAGTCAGTGGTGCAGAGACTGGATATACAAAAGGCTTACAAGGTATGCGAAATGTGCGCGAAGGCGTCGCGTTGCTCCTCGTCGGCGAACCAGTTTTCTAGTTCATCTATCTCCGCACACTCGAGGCTCCATGTGTACTGGGAAGGTGTAGCAGGCCAGATGTTGGTGCCTGTACCAGGAGGCTTTGTGTATTCTGGGCTACCGTCGGGTTGATCAGGGTATTCAATCGCGTATGCAGGATTACAAAGCCTCCCGCCCTCAGTCGTATCCGTAGAGGCCTCTATATCGCCATTACCGTTGTGTCCGATCTCTATGAAGAACTCAGACCCTGTAGGCATCTTCGCATTCAGTTCGGCCTGCCAAGTGACATGCATCGAAAGGTCGTCGGGCTTGGCGCGATAGTTAACGCCTGCAGGTCGGTACATAGGCGTCTCCAGGAACATGTCATCTACTTGTGTGCTAAAGTAGATTCTCCTGAAGCCAACGAAGAGGCCTCTTGTAATCCAGGTAATCCATGCGTGTTGCAGGATGTTACTCGAGGGTGCCCAATCTAGGGCAAAAGGTAAAAACCATACCATCTGTTGACGAGGACCTATCTGGTTGACGACTGCAGCTGTTCCACTGCCCGAGAACTTGGCAAATTCCCATGCCATTGAAGAATTTACAATTGTCGCAGGGGTGTGGTAAATGTTCGCGATACTCACGTCTACATTGCTGTGGTTGAAGTCAGTATTGATCCGAATGTCGCGAGCTTCAAGACTTACGGCTTCAAGTTGGCCGTGGTAAATCCGGTGTTGTTTGTGAAGGATACCGGCTCATCGTTCAAATTACCACCATTGCTGACGACCCCAAAGTCGGCAGTGGGGAATACATCGAGACGGACCATTCGCACACCGAAGTTGGTCTGATATGCATACAGATCATTCCATTGTCTTCTAGTAAGCGCGCTGTAATATTGGTCTCCATAGTTGTAGCCCACTTCGCTTATGGTGACAATGCCACCATAGTTGCCATGTGTAGCCGAGGAATTGAGTAGGGGAAGATTCGTGATACCAGCCTGGGGAACAGTGACGATCTCATAAGGAATGCCGTAACCCTGGAGGCCAAGCGTAGCGCCATTGATGGCCGATGTCGAGTCGCGTGCAATGACCAGGATCGTGCTAGATACCGTGGCACTTCCCACGTACGCCGAAACATGCTGCAAGAAGAGACAGAGGCATGTGAGTGCGCATGCTCGCAGTGACGATAGACCGGAAGACGCCATCGTGAAACGCGAAGTGAACAACGTGCTGACGAGACTTTTTTGTGAGGAACCTGGACGGCTTAATAAAGAAGTCTCGGCAGATATCATCTCGTACGCCACTGGGAGGACATTGGTCCAGATGCAGTAAACGATCAAGGGACTATTGATTTTCTCCCTTCTTAGCCTCAGCAGTCGGAGTTCTACCTGTAGCTCAACTTGATGCAGAACATGACGCGGCGCATAGCTCGATCAGAGGCTTCGAATAGTTATTGCCGTCCTCCTGGACTACTTCGCATACGTAACATGCCCTTATAGCCATATAGTCAGCAAGGGTCTTGGCTAGTCCTTGTACTTGAGAAGCGGTAGTGTTATGACTTTTGCCATGTGAGAGCAATGTATTGCAACGATCTCAGAGTATTACAGGACTCGTGATTTGACCGCACCTTTTACCTACCAGGCCACTGGTCGTTTCCGTCTCGAGTAGAGCCGAAGGACAGATTCACTGTATGCTCGAGGTGTGCACGGCTGGGGTCCATGGCAGTAATTCCTTTTTTGGGGCCGTAAAAACATGCGTGTGTGTAGGGATATTGTGGGCGGTGCGCCAGGTGTCTTCTAGCCTGGCTCCATGCAAGCACGCGTCTGCCCGCAACCTGGCCATATTGCGCAAGCAATTACTGACCCAGACTTCATCTGCGGCAGGTGCATTACATTGCATGTGCCTCGGAGACAAGACCGACAGAGATGCCGTAATAGATGAAGTTTGATATTAAAGTCGCAGTGTGGAGAAGTTAGGCTAAAAGCTATGCCGGATGAACGTGATTGAAAGAGCGATGATGGGCATGCACGGACATTTGCTGCCGAACCCCGGAATTCCAGCCTCGTCACGTCTTCCCTCGTCCACCACTCTTGTCGCGTCATCACGACACCCTCCTTCGCTGACATCGCCTCATCGTTGAGATCTAAATCTTCTTTGACCTAGTCTTAATACAGTCACGCTTCGCTGTTCGGGATAGATGGCCACTGACCCCTAGACGTTGTCAGCATTCCCTGTCATCGCTTTTGCCAATGCCCGGTCAGAAGGCTTCGCGCTGCAAGTCACTGACTGATGACTGCCGCTCCAATGCCATTCGTGGCGGCCAAGAGCCGTATTGCAGATTTCTGGAAGGATGGCTGCGCTCCTCCACTGCCGCTGGTCTTGCAGCGGTGGATATTTTGCACCGGCTAACCACCAACCATGTATGCTAACGCGATTCGCAGATCAACAGCTAACACATGACTGTATGAACATAGGATGTGCTGTAGTTCTCTGTTTTCTTAAAACTGGCTTTTCATAGCAGATGAGATGGCTCATGTGCACGTTAAGGGTATCTTTACCTAGTCGCTGATTGTCTTGCTAGAATATCACATCCACCCTACTTTGACGGCCCTTGTTATGGATCACGATACGAAACCTCTGTGTATCGCTCAGTAGCTTGTCTCTGTCCAGAAAAAGAAAGAGCTGTTGCTGCACTCTGTAGAGCGTGGAGCTATCATCCAGGGTATCGGATCTACCCGCAGTGGAATCATACAGGAACTATGCCTGCGCCAGATATTCTCGGCATTCAAGCCTTTGACACTGGTTCAATCTTTCAGGAGTGGTGGCAATGGGCGCTTGTTGCTATCATCAGTGCCAGTGGGCTTGTGGGAGTTGTTGCGTTCCTTTGGTATTCTTATCGTTCCGTTCGGACGTTGTTGAAGGTATGATCTGAATATGTGCCACCCGGTCTTAGGCTTACAAGATTCTCAGGGGAATAACAACGAGCTTGGTCTACCGCGATCGGTACAAGAACGAATCCATCTGCTATCGCACAGTCCGAGTGTCGTCCGCAAAACCCATACTCTTCCCGGAAAACCTTCGTCCTTTGGCGTATACCTGGGCCTTCTGAACACCCCGATCACACAAGAGGAAACGC